GCAAGTAGATGTTTTTATAATACTAGAAATTGTTTAATGCAGAAATGATTAAGAATTTACTATAAGTAGTATTTACTAAATTTGTTAGTAATTATTTATAATATAATTATCATACGTAATTACTTATAATTACGTAATTATATGAAGTATTTACTGGTGCCTTCAGGTAAACAATAGTGGTATTTTAATTCTGCCAGACATTTTCCTTAATTTATTTCTTCATTTTTTCCTTAATTTATGCCTGGATTAGTAAAATATTTTAGTATTTGTTTGTACCTGTATTTCATACTGAAAAGCATGTGCTTATTTTTATACATTCGACCCAATAAATATTCAGAATGAAAATTTAGAATTGTTAAACATCAAGGCATCGAAAGTAGCATAATTTTCTTATTATCTTCAAGTTACACGTGCATACATATGTATCGTACTAGCATTTACCAGTAAGTTCTCGCAAATTCGCCCAGCACCATGAAGGCTTACCGGAAGTTGTTCGGAACAAGTTTCAACTAGGAGTTTCAGTTCTCTCGGTTCAATTTTCCTCGTTGTTCGAGATTTCTCCTCGGTTACTTAATTCAACCCACCACCATTTTCATTAATTTTCAGTGCATGTGAAACGGCGAAACGTTGTTATATTCTTCATTATTGTAAAGCAAAAAAGATATTAGAATTTTTAAACCTAGGCCGCTGAGTGATAAACGAAATTTTTATTTTTCAAATCTCGTCTTCGAGTTTTTATTGCAAGAAGGTTTAAGTCACTTGTCAATAAATATCTAAGAATTTCCAAATTCTAGGATTCTCAAATTTTCGAATATTCCAGTTCCAAAATTCAAAAATTTTGAAATTCCAAAAGTCTAAGATTCTAAGCTGTATTAGAGCAGTTTCTTCTAAAAACAAGTGAGTATAAAATAAAAATTAATCAAAGAAGATAGATTTTAATAAATATTAGAGCAATTTCTCCTAATAATGAGCGAGGTTAAAATAAAAATTGATTAATTTTCAAATTTCTATAAAGCTTAGAAGAATATACAATCCACTTTCTACCCCAGTTAAATAAAAATTTGATGTAAAAATTCGCTTCATGTCGAATGATAATAAAAATAGTGAAAATTTTGTTAAAGAAGTTACCGATAATAGAATTTATTAATCGATTCAGTTTCATGGGAAATTCGCTTTCATTAGAATCGGTTCAATGGCCAGCGAAGTCCGAGCGGAGGAAATTGGTTCGAAGGAGCGTGAACCGGAAGCGGGAGCGCGTCTGGCCGAGGACGATACCGCGGGCCAGTCTTAGATGCTCATAAAATTGTTCTTCGATGAAATTGTTCAATCCCGTGTGTGTTTTATACTTCGAATAACGTCTATCGATTGACACACATTCCGTTCTTTTCTGACGTCCACGTGTTGTGTGGGCGACGAGTTTCGCTTGAGACTCTCCCGCCCTTCCCTCAACGGGTAATCCATCGTGAGATTGGATTTTGTACGATTTATACGATTTGCACCAATTAAAAGTTCTATCAAAGCTGCTTTTGGTAAATTTTCCACTACCTAATTAACTGCATGAAATTTCTTGCTTTAATTATCAGGGAGAGTCAAGGAGAGAGGATATTTCTTGGAATCAAAAAATTATTTTGTTATTTTATAGTAAACGATATTTGGGATCAGAATCTATAATTAAAATAATTTTTGAGGTGCTATAAGTGGATGAATTAATAGAGGCAAGATTTTAGAAAAATGCTTCCCCTGTAAAATCACATTTTTGGGCACTCGTGTTCCTTTTTCTCAGTAACCATTCGACCGATCAAGTTGAAATTTTGTGTGCTTTTACTACTAAGGGTAACACGTATTTTAGCCAAAGACTTTTTTGAAATTCGATCTACAGTCAGATTGATTGCATTTTCTATGTTGAAGGTAAGAGTACAAAAGAGTCCACACATTGAAAGGGTTGTATAATTTTTTCTATTCGGTATTTCAACATTCTCTTTGGCTAAAATACACATTTAGTATGATACCAGATGCTCTAAAAATTTGAAGTCGATAACTGTAGCAGGTTCTGAGGAAAAGGAACACGAAACTGGCTAATTCATCTTAAGACAGTGTTTCCCTACATGAGGCTCTCGCTCCACAGGGGAGCAATTTGATTGTTAAGGGTGGCAATTCGAAAATGGACTCGTCCAGAGTTTAAATTAATCGTATGGCGACTCTCAGTAATAATTAAAATAATATAGAAAAATCTTTCATTAAAATTATTTCGTACTTGAATTTCAGTTCTCCATTTCTACTTACCGTATTTTCTCAACAATTTCCTAGTGATTTCTTTCTAAAACCTACCATTTAAGTTTCATCAGTGAACAATTCAATTTTTGAATATTAAAAATTATGTACATTAAAACCTTAACTAAAAAAAATTTTAAATTAATGTTTTAATTTATTTTAAATTAATATTATTTATTGCTCTTAGAAATTGTATATGTTACATAGGGGCATAAGAATTTTAAAAAGGCTTAGGTGGGGAATGGCACAAAAAAGGTTGGGAAACACTGTCTTAAGGGGTTGATAAAAATGAATGATAAATTGAGAAGGAACGCGTGCGGTTTCCGGTACACGCAGAGTCGTACAATGTTCAATCTAAACAGCGAGCATCGGTGAGGCAATTATCCAGGGAGCATCGTCAGGGGAATCGCAATCCAGCGGTTCTAAATATTCGTTGAAAGATGTTGTTAACCCCCTTTTCCGCTTTAATGCGGTTCCGTTCCGCCATTCCGTTGCCACGACGTTGCAATTAAAGGCCTGAGAAACACGCAGCAGCCCCAGAATTCAGCTGCTCTTTCATTATATCCGCTGACATGCAGCCACTGCACAGAGCCGTTTCATCGTGGCCTGCAACGCTGAAGAAAGTATTTTCATCGTCGTGCAATTCCGAGGCCCTTCCTCTAATCTTCTTCGCAAATAGCTCCATCTCGGTGCAATCACTTTTTAACCGTAAGCTATGGTGCAAACTTTTTTTCTCGGTTGTCCAAGAAACGGTAGGACGATGGCGGGTTAACGGTGTGATGGAACGATTTGTCATCGATGCAATCTAGAAACAGGAATTAACCTTTAAACGGGTTAATTTAAAGGGTTAGATTAGGCTACCTTGAGGTTTCAAACATTGCATTATTTTCAGGAATTCTTTTTTGGGGAAAAAATTAAGTGAATGCAAAATCCAGTTTAGAGATTCTATTATACATATTTTGAAGGATAAAATAAATTTTTTAGAATAATGTTTTTTCCCAAACACCGCGAGCAGTAAAAGCGATCAGTATTTAATCTTGGGGCAAAATAAAAAATTTGCTAGAGAAATACATATGGATTATTCAAAATATGGATTTCTGAAGAAATGGCAAGTATTTGAATACAAAATTTCATTTTCAGATAAAAATTCTGAAAATTTCTAAAAATTTTTAATGAATCATAAAATCCGTATGTATTTCTTTTGAAAATTTATTTTTAAAGATGCTGTCGAAATTTGAAATGAATCGATCAAAAATTCTTCGAATTCTACTGCTACCAATTTGAGAAAAAGTCGTTCCAAGTTTTAAGTAACAATATTTTTTAAATAAGAAAAGAAATTTTTAATTTATCATTGCTCTCCTATTCTGGTATAAATTGCACATTATTTCTGACATTCCAAAAATTGTTTGACGCCAGAAACAATAAATTCTATTTTTTGAAAGTTTCAAGGTAGTCTAATTCCTTAAATAATATTTTTATTTAAGAAGAAATTCTTGATGATGTGATGGATCCGTATGGAGGTTGAACTGTTGCCCAAACATCGGTGTTTCCTGTTGGAAATGTCAGCTGTGGTAGGCAGATTATCTCGCTTTCCGTTTTACATATCACCATTTTCTGAAAGCCGTCGCAGCCTCTGCAGATTCGATGCAATTGCAGTATGCAACTGCAGTCCCTTTAATCACTCCGCCCGTCGGCATACATATGGAATTCGGTGATTAATATTTGGAAGTGGAGGTATTCTTGAATAGATCGTGATATGTGTCGCAGGAAGTTCTTGTTCGCCGGAAGAGAGATGTCTTTACCTTGTAAATTTTCTCCGAATTAATTAATGTAAATTTACTAAAACAGTTTGAACTTGATTGAAAATCATTAACATAATTATTCATCCTTTTTTAAAATTGCACTATCACAGGTTTGTTTTATCAGAATTGATTACAAAGAGTTTTCTTAATTAACGTAATTAAAAAACAAAGCACATTTAGCACGTACAATCTGATAACATATCATGGACAAAAATTTTAACTGAAAACTGAATATTTTTAACCCTTAACATACCAAGCCTAAGTCATCAATGTTGTTTACCAAGCGGGGTCTTCTGAGGACCCCATGGCATTTTTAAAATTTCTCAATATTTTAGTGTGGAAGGTTACTCAAATTAGGTTCTTTGGACGTCTAAAAATATATTTAAGTTAAATAAGTATTATTAGCCTAAAGATAGCAGCTCCCTTTTATTTCGAAATCAAGGAAACTTGGTCATAAATTATTATAGGTTTTCTTAATTCTACGTGCCTAAACTAATTGTAAACGGTAATTATAAAATGAATAAAATGGATTCGTCGCGGATTTGTCGCAAATTCGTCGCAGATTCGTCGCAGGGCACGTCTATTCCCCATACGTCGTCGTCGTCGACTGATTGTCGATTTTTTATGATCAGTCGCTTCGCGGACCCCCTGCGACCCCCCTGCCATCAGCAGTAGAATCTAGAATATTCTGGAATACATCTTTTATTTCCTACATTATTATGCCATAAATGCCAATGCATTCAACAAGAAATAAATCAATCCAAATATGTAACATAGTACACCAACCGGGGCTTTGCCGAAACCCCAAGTATGTTTTTATTTTTTTATATATTTTTGAGCGAACGTATTATAAGTCTAATTATGAAATATTTATCTTAAATGAATCCAGGGCACATATAAAAATCAAGAATAAATTTGTTGGTATAGTTACGGCAGAATCACCAAAAATCACTCTCTGGGCTCTTCCAAGGACCTCCCTTGGTATGTCAAGGGTTAATTTGAAAAGTAACCAATTTGTAAGCGAATCAAGTAGTAATCTCGTAACGAAACGTAAGAAGTATTCCCACTAATCCATCGATCGTTCCGTATCTCTGAATTACAGGGACTACGCTGAATCAGAATCAAGTGGGATTAGGCTAATACCTCGATAGCTTTTGTTTAATCTGATTGACCGATCCTCGCCGAGCGATACAAATCGAGCCGCACCGCAGACAAACTGAAACTTCGCAAAGTGTATCGTGTAATCAATGAGCATTGGACTCGAGGAAAAATGCAGCTTCAGTGAAACAGCACATTCTACTCCAAAGATCAACCTCCTCGACCGCAACAATCCCAAACCATCTGGATCAACAATGGAGATTCAGAAATCAACAGTCATCTTGAACACACAACCATCGAAGGTCTACCCAACTCGAAATCGCATCAGGACACCTGGTTTCCAAAGTCTCTTGGACCCACTGGAGGATCCAATATTTTCCATCAAAGAGTATCCGGAATAAAACCATCCGATCGAAAGCCACGGAGAAGATCTAAATAAAGTATTAATTAGATGTATATAGCAGTCATGATTATCCAAATGAAGCTGATCGGACAGCCATGACAGAGTAAACCAGCCGGGGATCATCCGAGACCTCGTCCACCATGTTGAACGTAATGGCAGCGGTGACGACCAGCCTTCCCAGCCGAGTGGACCCGACACCGACGCCTTCGGGCAACACCAGCACCTCGTCCAGCACAGCCGCGAACAACGTGACCTCGGTACCCGTGGAGAACCCTACCGTTGAGAATCTACCGGAGAACGTGAGCGTGTTCGTGGTGGTGATCAAGGGTATCATAATGGGTAGCATAATCACCACCGCGGTTCTCGGTAACGCTCTGGTGATCGCAAGTGTCCGAAGGCACCGGAGGCTTCGGGTAGTGACGAATTGTTACGTGGTCAGCCTTGCGGCGGCTGATCTCTTGGTGGCGATGTGCGCGATGACGTTTAACGCGTCCGCCGAGTTGTCAGGTGGTAAATGGTTGTTCGGTCGGTTCATGTGCGACGTATGGAACTCGTTGGACGTTTATTTCTCCACCGCCTCGATACTCCATCTCTGTTGCATCAGCGTGGACAGGTATTACGCGATCGTCAGCCCGTTGGAGTATACGGTGATCATGAGGCAGGGCACCGTCGGATGCATGCTCGGTAGCGCGTGGGTCCTACCGGCTCTCATCAGCTTCATACCGATCTTCATGGGATGGTATACCACGCAGGAGCATCTGGAGTATATGGTGAAGAATCCGGAGGTAGGTTGAGGAATTTTGTTGGTAATTTTTTTTTTTGTTAATCAAATTTTTATTAGCATAGGGCAATAATTGGGTTGAATTATAAAATAATTTGAAAATTTGATAAATTATTGATATATTTATTATCAAAATAATAGGAATTTCGAATATTATATAAATATCCAATAAACAGAAATTTACCAATTAAATAAAACTTAACACTTTTCTTAAGCTTTAAAATAACTTCAAGTCAAGATTATTATAAATTATTACAAATTATTAATATATTAATAATTATATTATTATTATTACAAATTTTGATAAAAGCTGGGTAATACATTGGTACACATTTCTTCATTTCCATTAAAAATATCAATCCCTTTTTCTTATCAAATTTTTATTAGCATACGGCAGGCATTTAGAGTAATAATTGGGTTGAATTATAAAATGATTTAAAAATTCTCTGAAAAATTATTGATATATTTATTATCAAAATAATAAACAAATAGAAACTTATAAATTGTTACAAATTATTAATATATTAATAATTATATTATTATTATTACAATTATTAAAAATTATTACAAATTTTTATAAAAGCTGGGTAATACATTGGTACACATTTCTTCATTTCCATTAAAGATATCAATCCTTTTTTCTTTACCTCTGAAATACCAGGTCTTTTTAAATATACCTGCATAATCTTTACTTTTGTTATGTCTAGTTCTTTTCTAATATTCATTTCTCATAAAATTAGGCACAATTTTTAATTGAATTGTATAAGAAACTCAAAAATGCAAAATTTTTAGATGTAACTCTCTCCCGGGTAAACAAGTTATTCGTTTAGACATTGGTAGGACGTTCGTCAAATATATCTGGATATGCTAACGCGTCTACTTAATAAGCATTCTGACTTGCATACGAAATAGTGAGCACCGACAGTAATTCCTGAGGGATAAGAGGATTTCAGCAAGGCTTTTCAGTATTTGCATACGCATGCGTTACGAGTAAATCGACCAATCACGTCCTTCGTATGGTCCACGTAACTTGCACTATTGTTTCCTTGATTGGCTAATTTGGTTATGCATAGTGGCCGATGCATCATGGGAACACCGTCGTGAATGTCGTGGTTCCTGGTAAATTTAGAAGTAATGGTAACATAGCACGGGGAAAATTCAATTTACCACCTTTAAAGATCAATTGTTTATGGTGTGTTATTAAATTTTAATATCAATCCGTTTATGATAATTATTGTTAATTAGAGGTTGATTAGTTTCACTCGCTCATTATACCGAAACTCTAATGCAAGTTAAGAATAACAGGATACATTGTTTCAAAATGAAGTTTACGTAAGCGCGAGGAAAGGCTTCATCTCATTACAACCGAGGTTTAATATAAATTCTGCATGCACGACACTGAGCTTAACCACCGTCGTAAAACGAAATTGGATTAAAAATCCTTCCTGGTAGCCAACGAAAATCGAAATTCGTTCGAACAGCTATATATGTCTTTTTTATATCATTCCTCCTCGTTCAAATAATCTTCTGATACATATTTTAAATGAAATGAAAATATTTTCAATTTTACTTTGAATAAAGATTTATTCATAGATCTTTGAATAAAACCAAATCATTTGAAAATAGTGAATAATTTTGAATTTATTTGGAACAAACTTTTATTTAAAATAAAATTTGATTTTTCTGTTATTTTCAAATAACTAATTGAATTCTTAATTATTTATTATTTTAGTGGTCTTAAATAAAGAGTTATTCGAATAAATAATTTATTTCTCATTCTTGAATACCTTCATTTTAGTCAAAAATTTGTGGCAGAAGATTATTTAAAATGAAACTTCAATAAATTTTAATAATTTCTGAATGCAGGCACCAGTTTCTCATAAATCTGGGTCACAATTGACCCAGTTTCACTGTTCCATTTTTAACGTTCACATTTCCAAAGTAATTTTCATACAATTAAATTAGAAGATTTTTAAAATCACAAATTTTCGTGCTGATTTAAAATAAATTAAAATTACTGAGATAGCAAAGTAGAATGGATAATAAAAGGAATGGTGTTTATTGTTTCAGGTGTGTTCCTTTGTTGTGAACCGACCTTACGCAGTCATTAGTTCGTGTGTTTCCTTTTGGATCCCTGGCTTGGTAATGATAGTGATGTATTGTAAGATCTACAAGGAGGCGGTGAGGCAGAGGAAGGCACTCAGCAGGACATCCAGTAACATCGTCCTGAATAGTGTGCACCATCACAGATCCTCCACCAGGCAACACCACCATCAGCAGATGTTGCTCCAAGCAGCGGCCGAAACTGGTGAGTTTGCACTATACACTTACACCGATTTACCGCAAACGTGGCTTTAGTAGAATTGTGTCTGCTTTCTCTCGGAGAAGCCATTTCTCTCCTGACATACGCGAAACACCGCGATTTCTTCTCCTTTAACCGTTGATTTATGGCGTAATAAAAATATATTCACCCTATGATTGCATTTAACTTTGATATGAAAATATAGAACCGTCCAATAGGGAAGTTAAAAATGTAGAATAATATTTTCTTTTGTGTGTTTCAATTAATTAGAAATATGATTCATAAACCCCAACGATAAATTATTGGAAATTTCTGAATAGAATAGTTAATTGAATAATTACCCCCAATTAATTATACACGGAGCGCAACGATCGAAAGAAGTAAAGTTTGTTCAATTTTTTTTTTTAACAACGTTATCAATTATACACGCGTTGAAATCGAAGGTCGATCGTGAATTGATAATTAATCATAAACTGGCCGCGAGGTGTAGAATTTTCCTACGACGAGTAATTAATTCTCGGCTTCGATAATTAGAGCGAGCCGATGATTTCGCGAATATTTGGCGAATGTCGAAACGCGAAACAGTCTCTTGGTGATAAAAACCGTGAAGGTGTTAATTAAAATTGATTACAGAACCTCGTACGGTTAAGGTTCCCGCGGAATTCTCGTTTAATCAAAGCGAATTATTTATTAAAGGATTAATTAAAAGATTTCGTAATCACGTAGCGTCTTTAGTGAAGGGAAAGTAATTTAATCGCATCGGAAAATGAAACCAAAAAAAAACCCAGGAGATGCTTAGAAATTTTTATGATTATTAAAATTAAAGTAAAATTAAGGTTCAGATTAAGATATCAGATTTGAGTTTTTATAAACACCATTAAAATTAAAAAATGAATGAAAGTCCATCGATTTGTACTTTGAAAATCTATAATAGATTGAAAGAATCGAAACGTGGTGGAATAATGAATAAGAATTTCATTTATTTATGGCACGTGTTCACACATTCAATATACTACTCTTTGTTCAGTTCGAGGCATTGTTCGCTTTGATATTTTTGAATTGTTCACACCTATTCATTTATTCTCCGCACACATATTTTTCATTAAACGCAATAGAATCACACGTGATATGAATAAACTATAAGAAACAGTATGTTCTATATAATCAAAAGAATTAGTATTTAACCAGAGGAAACGTTTTTTGGAACATTCGCAAATGAAAATTCTGCTCAGAGTCGTTCTTGATAGCATTTCTTGCAAGTTTCTTTTAATTTTAAATTCGAAATATTACTTTCAATCTATTTGAATAGGGTAACGTATACAGTTATCGACCCCTACTTAAAAGGGGTAGTCGAAAAAGTACTTTACAAATGTTTTATTTTTCAAGCTTTTAACTAAAAGAATTAAAACTTAAAAACAGTGCAAAATTTAGAAAATTAAGATAATGTAAAATACAAAATTAAATTAGAATTAGGGCTTTCTCCATGGTCCGCCGTCTTCTGGCTTTCTCTATGGCCCGCCTTCTTTGGGCTCTCTCCATGGTCCGTCGTCTGAAAATTCAGAAACACATTACCTACACAACTGCATACGTTACCCTACACGTGCAAAACGTTAATTACATAAATCTAATAATTTTGTTAAAATAAATTCTCAAATAATGGTATTAAAAAATGATCGAAAAATGATCTAATTATTAGGTGTTGGTAAGTACAATTATTGCGTAAGAAGCTGTTAATTCGCGTAACTCAATTACAGAAGACGTAATCCTTCCTGTTAATCGTCTTAAGGAAATCGCGTGTCGTTAGGCTGTTGGGTAGCATTTCTTCGCGAACTAATATCGCCGACGTGATCGCGATTCTTTCGAACGTGGCGGCCTTAGCTAGTTCGTGGAAGAACGCGGAAGAAAGATAGGAAGCGGTGAACGCTCCCTTGAAATCCTCTTATCTCTTTAAGCCGTAATGCCGCGTTCAGTGCAACCGGTCGTGCCGGGAATGTCGAAGTAAATGCAGTTACCGGCTGCGCTGAGCCTTTGTGAACGTCCAAGGAAGAGCCTTTACCTTGGGCGTAGGGGTGTTCAACAACCGGAAGCAACGTCCTTTGAAATTCTCCTCGGTTCAGTCGACGGTGGCGCATTTTTCTCGTTACGGTTTTTGCAACCGGAAAATTCGGCGACAGACGGCTTCGAATTCGTTCGAAAGATTTTTTCTCTTTTCTTCATTGTTTCTTTCTGACGAGCTCTAACGAGATCGTCAAAGGAACTTTAAAAGGATGATTCCTCAGACTTTTCTTGAAAATATTTAACTGTGGATTTTCTTTTATTTTTCACAGAAATTAATTCGGTGCTTTTAACACTACGCCTTCTTAATTATTATTCCAGCACTTCTGACATTTTTAAAAATAAATTTTCAATTGAAAAAAGAAATAAGAGGAGTCACACATATTTAATTATTTTTGATGAGCTTTTAGCAGTTTTAAAGAAATATTTTTCTCTTTCTCTTATTACCTTCATTTCCGTTTATCAGCATTATCGAGTGGTTGAATGGGTATTTTTAGGTGTCTTTATTTCGAACAAAAGCATACGATGCGATCAAAGCGATCAAACAGGGATCAAATTTCCTGTAGCGAGGAAAAACACATGAACGTCGAAGTTTGAAATTGCATTTTGATCGGCAGCCGCTGCGGTTTACAATTAAGGACACCGATTGAAAGCGGTCGAAACGGTCGAACCGATTAAATGGGATTTCGCGGTTCCCTGATAAAATCGCGGTTTTCGGCTATTTTCGTTTCTATGCTCGGTTGCGATAATCGCTTCCCCATGGTTTCCGGCAATTATCGCAAAATGGAAAAATCCGGTCTACCGATCGCACCGTTCTGTACAAAGAGCATTAACCAAGTGACATTTGATAAAATTATTTTGCACCTCTCCTTCCTTTGTTCGTTTCAACAAATTTTTCTCATTATCTTAAAACTTTCTATATAAAAGTTGCAAATTAAAATCCAAAAAAGAGAAACGAGCAAAATGAAATTTCGAGTCCTTCAAAACGGAAGTTTATAAATCGCCTGTCAAGTGAAACGTTTTGTTTCCGATTGAAGTGGAAAACGAGAACAGAAGCGCAGTCATTGATCGGCGCAATAGAGTCAAATGTTGGTTCACCGATCGAAAAAATGGATTTGCGTGAACTGGAGTGTCTGTAGAGTTGTTCAGAAATATCTTCAGAAATATCTAAATGATGTGCTTAAAAATAGCCTCTTGTAAACAGCTCGTTATCTATTTTCTGCTTCGCGCGTTACCAAAGGTCAGGGGGTAGTATTGCTATTATTTCAAGTTTCTGATTATCATACAAATGTACTGTGCAATCAAGGAGGAAAATTTTATTTAAAGGAAATATTATTTAATTGACAAAATTCAATAATTCGAATCATTGTCTGGTTGTGTTTAAAAAACGAAATTTTATTGAAAATAACTAAATGTGCGGTTTAGACGTGGTGTGAAAATAAACATAATAATTTTCAGCTTAAACTTTGAATCATCGTTCCCACTTTAGCGTAACGATTAAAAAGTTTTCGACGCTCAATAAAATCCCTGGTCGTTGAATAAATATAGGAATAAAACAGGCAAGTTTTGAGCTCGCGTGCCAAAATGTGGAGAATTTAACCGAAAGTGGTGAGAACAGTAAAGGAGCCACGCTCGATTTTGCGTCGCCTTTAATGACCGGTCATTAATAACAGCACGGTACGTGTCGGAAATTTACGAGCGCGTCTGTTCAACTGCAGTTGCAACGAAATTACGAATCGACTGCAAACTCTACCCCCCTCGTCCAACCCCTTCAATGCGCAGGGAACCTGCCGGCCAGTCGACCTTGACCCTTGAACGTATCCTGTCATCGTTGCCATTTTGTTCTGGTAAAGACCGGGAATCAAAGAGAGGAATCAAGGATTTTATATAGCGACGTCTGATCAATTACTGCTTTGTTTCACTACTTCTCGAACAATTTACCTTATCCCGAGGAGAAAGGATTTAATCGAATGGGAATTTCTTTCTGATAGGGGTGAAAACACTTCTTATTTTATTTTACAAATTTCTTTTACAATTCTTTCATTCTTATACAAATTTTTATTTTTATTTTCTACATAGTCATTGCTAATTATTTGAAACATTAAGAAGCCTATATTTTAGACAAATTTCTGGGTGATCTTAGTTAGGTTAATTTGATTCTTATGCAAATTTGAGAAGCCTCAGTTTGTTAATAGTTGAACGTTGACAATGTAAAAGAAATTTGTTTGAATTGATTGGAAGCGACTCGAAGCCATCGCTGATTGTGGCTGGGGTCGTTTTTGTTTTCTACATATCACTGCTAATTATTATTTGAAACACATTAAGAAGATTTTAGAAAAATCCATGGGAAATCTTAGTTGGGTTACTTTGATTTTTATGCAAATTCGAGAAGCCTCAGTTTGTTAATAGGATAATGTAACAGTTACTCACCCCTATATAATGATTGACATTTTTAATTAAAAAGTAAGAAATATCATATAATGCGTTTTTTAACTCGGATGACGGACCATGGAGAGAGCCCCAATTTGATATTACATTCATTTTCTAAATTTTATACTGTCCATTTAAAAAGAATTCTTCTTAATCATAATGAGAAATTCATTATATTATATTTTCTACTTTTTTAAGAAAACTGTTAATCATTATATAGGGCTCACCCTAATTGAACTTTCAAAATGTAAATGTAAAAAGATTTGTAAAATCATGAAAGAAGTTTGTTTGAATTGATTGGAAGTGGTTCGAAGCTGTTGTTAATCGCAGTCGGAGGTCGTCAGTAGTAACGGGTCGCATAGATCAGCCATAAGATTTCCTGTGTCTCGAGCGATGCCCTTGACCTCCCACATCATCGTTGGCATTCGGCTTGAATGGTGGTTAGCAGATCGAAAACGAAGGGGTGGGTGGCCGTGTAAGGTCAGGGTGACAGTTACCGACGTGCTATTTTTATCTCTGAA